GCTCTCCGGTTCGCAACCTCATGTTCGATCCCACGGGCACTAATATAGCTGTCCAGGTACTTAAATTCCTGAACGACTGCCAGCTGGTCATCAGAAAGCGTTAGCACAAGAGTGCGTCCCTGCCAATCTTGGAGAATTACTTTGCATTTCGATGGAGCAAAGCATAGTCCAAAACGATAGACAGCCAGTGCCAATCGGTCCAGTGCTGTTGGGCATGTTTGGGAGATGTCACAGATTAGGGCAATATCGTCCGCGTACTCCAAGTCAAGAAGTCGCTCACCAGGAAGCGCCTCCACACCATCTAGCTCGTGTCCAGCAAACGCTGTTTCCATGACTTCATCAATAGCGAAGTTGAAGAGGAAAGGTGACAGCGAGCATCCTTGTCTCACACCGCTGGTGATACTGAAGGGTGGCGACAGTTTGCCATAAACCCTCACCCTGCCCGAACTATGTGCGTACAGCGCTTTGATAATGTTTATATATTTATCAGGCACACCTTTCCTCAGCAAACAGTCCCAAAGGGCACATCGATCGACTGAGTCGAAAGCACCTTTTATGTCAAGAAACACGACGACGGTCGGTCGCCAGCAAACATGGCGGTGCTCCAACACTTGGCGCAATGTGAAGATGTGGTCGATGCAGCCCCGACCTCGCCGAAATCCGGCTTGCTCTTCACGAATCTGGCTTTTAAAAATGCCAGGCATTCTGTGGAGAACGACAGACGCAATTTAGCGGCAATTTAGATCAGACTGATCACTTTATGATTGCTGCATTCTGAACGGGAGTCTCGCTTGAAAATTGGGACAATGACGGAGCGGTTCCAGTCGGTTGGGACGCTCTCCTGCTCCCAAAGTTTCACTAGCAACTCCTCTAAGCCATCTATTAGAGCAGATCACCCAAATTTGGAGAGGGTTGGGGGGAATTCTATCTGACTCCGTGGCCTTATGAAATTTCCACAGCCTGCTCTCACGTTCGAGTTTTGCGCGTGAGGGTGAATTCAAGAAGACGGCCAAAGGGGGAAGCGTGCTCAATGCCCGAAAAAGAAAGCGACAACTCCGGTTGGTTCAATTGCCTTGCAAAGTGTTCAGCCAAATGCTCCAAGCTTCTTGGCAGGCTGTGGATCAGCTGCCCACTCTCGTCGTGTATGATCTCGATAACACTAGGTCTGCTGCTGCATGTTTCCCCTATCAAACGGAATAACTTATGGTGATTACCAACGGTAACGGTTGTTTCCATCTCCGACGCACCATGAGAATACCAACCTTTGCGGTCTTCCTTCGGACCATCACGTAGTTTTGTCCCGAGATTTTTGACAGCTTCATTGTATTCGCTTCCAGCTGGAACACGTTGGCGAGCTTTCATTAGTTCCAGAGACGGTGTAGAGACTCAATGTCTAATTTGGCAATTTTAGTTGCTACATGGAGGCATGCCTACTGATAGTAACGTGTGACGAATATCCGAGCAGTGATCACCGACGGTGTTTAGTGGGCGCTTGCTCAGCCCAGATGTCAGCGCACATTGATACGCATTCAGAACACCTGGCTTCGCCAGCTGGCTGGTGTCAATCCGTTCACATCGACGTTGCGGACGTCCATGGAAACACCCGGAGGTCTCCACAGGCAAGTGCGTGGTTAGGGTCTACGCTCGTGTTCCAAATCGAGCGACAGTTTTGGACACAGCCTCTCCAGTGGTAACTGACCGCGATATGATTAATTTGCGTCCATGGCTGGTGCAAACCTAGTGCAAACCTTGCGAACAGCGAGACCCAAAAGACTTGGTGCATACGGCGGCCAAGAAAAAGATCTATATCTAGTTGCCTTTCAAAGGTGACTTTACTGTATTGAAAACCACCAAACGTCTAATCTCTGCTACGCAGAGAAGTTACTGTGCTGCTCAGGTTGTGGTCATCAATAGAACCTGTAACTTGCCGGTGCCTCCAACGAAGGAAGCCCAACCGATAGGGGCCAACTCACACTGCATATACAAATTCGTGTGCGACTGCGGAAAAAGTTACATAGGCAGAAACAATCGGTCTTTGACTTCCCGAATAAAGAATCATGTGCCAAGGTGGGTTCAACGTGAAATTGACCAGCATCCCTGTCCCACTGAAGTTCCGTGTTTGCGCAAGCCGCCAGCTTCCTCAATAGGTAAACACCTACTGACTACGCGTCACTGGATAGAGCTTGGATCAGCGTTCACACTTGTATTACGTCACCATAATCCCCGCTTCCTCCGTTTCGCCGAGGCCGTTGCGATAAGCCGGATGAAGCCGGCCCTGTGTGTTCAAAAGCAATTATTTATCAGCTTAAGACTGCCATGGACATAGGGGTGAAACTTCCGTCATTCATTTTGCACCCATGCTTATTCGGTCACACACATATTTAAGTATATAGTTGCATACCGGTTATTGTTAATGATACTGAGGAGACAATACGAAATGCATGCATCTACCAGTTTTCGTCTTCTTACCGTGCTTTTCAAATTTCTGAAGGGAACTAACTGTTTTAAACTTCCCAAGTAAATCAATCACTTCTCCTGTATAGGTTCTAAAAACGGTATCAGTCGGTTCCAGGTCGGGTAACGATGAGAGGGCGTTTTTACTAATCAATGTCACCGCGGAACCAGTATCCAATTCAAATAAAACAGGTTCGTTATTAACATGAAGCGTGATCTCATATGGAGACACTTTCGTCATAACTGTGCAGTTTGAAATTATATGGTTCATAAAATTTAGCTGGAAATCTGGGCACTCACCGTCGTCGGAGTTCAATGATTTGATCGAGACTTGTGACCGTGGGGAACGGCAAACACGTGCCAGGTGGCCAAGTTTTCCGCAATTTCTGCATTTTGTGCGAGTATGAGGACACTGGGTGGGAGAAGTGTGCTGATCCCCGCATCGGTAGCAGACGAACTTCCGTACCCTGTTTTCAGAGGACAACCGTGGTGACAGTTTGTTTACACATTCCACAGGCTGAGGAGGGTTGAAGGTGGATGGTTGGGATTTTAGGTTTTCCCTTTGACGTACAAGGTTACACGCCATTTCCCGGGAAAGGGTTTCTTCCTCCTGTGACAATAATCTTTCCCTCGCACCATCATCTGTAACTCCACCAATTAGGCACTGGATTTTCATGACTTCTTAAAACCGACTTGAGGGAATGGTATTGTACCGGCATTCCGGTGTAGCTTGATGAATGCGGGCAATGAAACCATTTACACTTTCTCTGCATCGTTGCTGTAGCTTGAAAAACTGATAACGAGCGGAAAACACACTTTGTTGGATTCCCCACAATTCCTCAAACAACTGGATCACGTGCACAATACTGGTCTTAGCCATTAAGTTCATAGCGTCAAAATGACGTTGTCCTTCTGATCCAAGGGCTTGGCGGAATAACATAATCCAATGGGTATCGGATAACACGATAAAGGGGTTTAACACAGGAAAGCGAGTCGTTTGATGTTGGAAAGATGTTTTCCACTGTAGAGAGGGTTTTTCTGCACCATCAGGCCACAGACATGACAGTCCCGCAAGAGGGTTCGTAGCAACCGTCGCCATTCTGATACGTATTACTCGAGTATTGCTGGATCGCACCTGGACCCTTAGTCCGCGCAAGAAGTGAATAAGAACACACACCGGATGGGACGTGTCAAAAACTGTAATAGATAGCTTGTAGGTTACACCAGATGAATAAGTCGGAAAAGGAACCAATCAGCACAAGGAACAAGAGTGGACGAATCAGCTATCTGTCAATCGATCTGTATGTGTCTGTGTTTGCTCATCGGCTCGGCGGTTTAGCCGACGACACACATGTAACACATACCCCAGCTAATCAAATGGGAAGTCCACGAGGATCCCAACGTAACGCTGCTGGAGCGATGGAGCACGTTTACCGAGATCGGAGTAAGTCCGGTGAAACGACTATTCAGTAGCAAAACAAGGACGCGGCTACCGGCCGCTACAGTGTTACTACAGCCAGAGATAGCACCGGACGCTTCTGTGCACAACCAACTACGAAATAGTACGCTAAAACAAAAGAAGTACTATGATCGTGGATCGAGATGCCTCCCACCACTAGCTGTAGGAGAAGCAGTATGGGCGCAACCAATACCAGATTCGGGAGAAGTTTGGCAGCGGGGATTGATTGAGGAAGCTACGAAGTCAGAATGGGAAGAACACCATTAGACAGAATCGGGTGCAAACTAGGAGAGCACCTAGTGGACGGACTCCGCAAAATGAGGATCGGCAGTAGCAACCAGAGTGGGAACCTGCAACCTCAGCCTTAGACAGCAATCGTACGCGCAGCGGAATACAGTAGTGAACTTCATGCAAACACTTAATAATAGAGTAAAAGGAATGGATGTGATGGTTGTTGTATCTACACGTACACTAGTCCCCTGCACGCAGGGTCTTGAACAAACACGACCAAAGCCCCGAACGAGGAAGCAGAACTCTACAGGTACGCAACACAAACTTCTATTGACGCCAACCGTACATGCACTCAGTATATTCAAAACAACCCTGGTATTGATCGCGAACGGACAGGCATCCAATCACGAGCTACGAAGTGCGGTCGTGGTAAGGCCCGCGCGTACGGGCTACCACACTACTCCCCCTCTTCAGCGGTTGGTTCACTGCGGTGGCCCTCGTTTCAGGACATTGCTTCGGTTGAAGTGCTGAATATAGCTGTCTGGCGTTGACTCGTCGGCCGTCTGCTAACTCATAAGTTCCTGGCCCTAGCGCACGAGTAATTCTGATGGGTCTCGTCAGTGCCGGTTCTCCTTTACGTGTTTGCCTTTCCTTTAGCCTGACCAACGTTCCAGGACGCAGCGATGTGGCCCGTTTTTCGTAGGATGACTGATATCCCCGGCGACGTTCCAGTTGGTGGGGGTCGTTGTTTTCTGCAGCCGAAATAGCTGCGTTTAATTTCGTACGCAACTTCCTGCCAAACATCAGCTCACCTGGGGTGCGATCAGTCGCTCTGTGGTGCGATGTTCGGTGAGTAAACAGAGCCTCCAAAACGGCATCTTCCCACTGCCTGCCGGACAAACGTGCTGTCTGTATAGTTTCCTTTAGCGTGCGATTAGTGCGCTCAACCATGCCGTTGGCAGCTGGGTTGTACGGGACAGTATGTACGTGCTTCACATCACGAAGCTGTAAGAAACGTTTAAACTCATAGTTCGTGAATTGTGGTCCGTTGTCTGTCACAATTTCCTCAGGAAACCCAAATCTAGCAAACAGATGTTTCAGCCACCGTATAACGGTTGAAGTGGTCACATCGCCACACAAATGGATTTCCGGCCACTTACTGTAATAGCACGTGGCAACTAAGCAGTTCCTCTGGTGCTGTGGCGCAGAATGAAACGGTCCCATGATGTCAATCGCCACCTTCGACCAAGGTTTCATTGGATAAGTAACAGGTTGGATGGGGGCATCGATCGGTTTGGAGCTCTTGTCGGCCTTCTGACATGCATCGCAAGACCGGACACACGCCTCTGCCATTTTATTCATTTTTGGCCACCAAAAGTATTCTTGAAGTCGGCGCTTCGTCCGTACGATACCCGGATGTCCCTCGTGTGCACATTGGATAATTTTTGATGTCAGTTTCTGTGGAGCTACGAATCGCGATCCTCGCATAAGGCAATCGTCAACGACCGCTAGCTCATGTCGTAAAACATAAAACGCCCGTAGTTCACCACTCAACTTCGCGTAGCGAGGCCAGCCTTGAGAGAGATAGTGAATGACATCTTGCACATTTGAATCACTCCGGTTAGCTTCTTGAAGCTCTTGTTTAGTAACCGCGGAGAGCTCACTTGATTGTAAAGCAGAAATCATGACTTTTTCTTCGTCGTCTTCATTCTTGTCGGAATCATCCAATGGGAGACGTGATAAGCTATCTGCCATACGGTTCTCGGAGCTAGGGCGGAAGATGATTTGAAAATCATAGTTCAGTAACCGCGCATACCAGCGGTTAATCCGTAGTGGCCTGTGACCATTGGTTCCTCGGCTGAGGAGGGTAGTTAGAGCAGCATGATCCGTGCGCAATGTAAATCTCCGACCAAACAGAAACAGGTGCCATTTTTCACAGGCCCATACACAGGCCAGGGCCTCCCTTTCACCTGCGGAATATGAAACTTCAGTAGGGGATAACTTTCTAGAAGCATATGCAATCACTTTTTCCTCACCGTTCTGAATTTGAGACAAGACCGCTCCTAAACCGATGTTTGACGCATCCGTTGAGACGAATGTTGGGCAGTTTTCGTCGAAAATGGCCAGCATTGGGGTGGAGACGAGGCGTCTTTTAATTTCTTCAAAGGCCGACTGCTGCGAAGAGCCCCAATCGAACGTAGCTTTTTCTTTTGTCAGCATTCTCAATGGCTCCGCTATAGTTGCAAAATCGGGCAAATAGCGCAAGTTGTACGAGCATAAACCAAGAAAGTGCTTAACCTCGGATGTATTCTTCGGTACAGGGGCTTCCGTGATAGCTCGAGTGTTAGCTGCGCATGGTCTAATTCCACCAGCTGATAAGACGTACCCAAGAAACTCGACATCCGTAGCACAAAATATACACTTTTCCAGGTTCAGCCGAAGATCTAGGCTCTCCAATCGCTGCAACACAGCGCGCAGCCTTGAGTCGTGCTCATCTCTTGATTTCCCGAAAACGCATATATCATCCATGTAAGCGATTTGTCCCGGTAGATCTGCTAGTGAGTGATTCATAAACTTCTGCCAAGCTGCTGGAGCGGAGCTAAGTCCCATCGGCAAGACTTTGTACTGGAATAGACCACTCGATGTCAGAAAAGCCGTAAGTGGTCTGGATTCTGGTGTCAATGGCATGTGGAAAAAGGCCTTCCTCAGGTCTAGTTTTGAGAAAAATCGCGCGCCAGTTATCTTGACCAACAACTCGTCAACTGTGGGAAGAACGAATTTTTCGACGACGATCTGACTGTTCAACCCTTTCAAGTCGTTGCATATGCGCACAGTACCGTCCTTCTTTAACACCGTGACCATGGGATGCACCCATTCGGAACAGTTAACTGGCTCTATCAAATCGTTGGAAATCATCTCTTGTATGGCCTTTTCTACCATCGTACGTTTGGCCAATGGAATAGGACGTGGCTGCGAAATCGAAAACGGTTTAGCGTCCTTTTTAAGGCATATTCGATGAGCAGCAGATGGAATCCGGCCAATCGACTCAGCAAATAATTTGGGATATAAGCTTTTAAGTACTGATGTTTTGATTGTCATGATGCGCATTCGCTCGATAGATGGTGTTATGTTGAGGGCAACCATAGCATTTCGCCCCAGCAAGGCTGGACTGTCTTCGGAGGCAACATACACAGCTACATCAGATGCGACTGAGAGTAAACTGATTTTCGTCATTATATATCCCCGAATTTGCACACGTGAATTTGTGTACGATTCGAATTTATACGACGTAGGATGTAATGGAATGTCTTTCAGGTAATTGTCGTAAATGCTGGACGGGATAATTGTTATCGGCGATGCCGAGTCTAGCTCCATAGTCACTGGTACAGAAGTGTTAAGCCCATGGAGTGTAACGGTACGTATGTCAGGAGCAGGGAGCTTGGGTTCCAGCGAAGCAATTCGTCGTGTTTCTGGTTGTAATCGTCTTCTGATAGAAAAAAGATTCGGTGTAGTCGGTGAGGTGGAAACATCATTTTGTTGGTCAATTAACGCGACTCGACGCGAGCGGCAGCATCTGGCGAAGTGGCCCAGTTTACCACAGCTTTTACACTCAGCTGTACGAGCCGGACATGTTTGACAGTCAGCTTTGTGGCGAGAACTCCCACATCTATAGCACGAAACAGTCGAATTCTGAGGTTGACTGGAACCCTTGTGCTGAATCTTACTGACTTCTAGTATATCACTCGACTTGAATAGGCTGGAATGTTCAACGGCGGCTTTTATTAGTCTTGCGATCTCTATGGCTCTCTCCCAGGTAAGTTTTGACGGATCTTCGGAAAGTAGCTTTTCGCGTATACGATTATCCTTTATACCGGTTATCAACTGCTGCGTCAGCATAACACTCTCAAGTGTATTCTTCGGGATGCTAGTATAGTCACAGGTTTTTACAGACCGAATTAAACGAGCGACAAATTGTTCCAGTGGCTCTGCATCTTCTTGCCTCAAACAGCAGAACTTGTAGCGTTCAGCGAAAATGTTTGGCCGTGCACCCCATGACTGATCGAGTACATCCAATGCCTTTGTAAGTGTGTCGAATTTCTGCAGATCTAACGCATCGAAATAACGTTGACCTTCATTGCCCAACAGGTGACGAAGTAGTTTCAGTTTTTGCTTCTCATCGTAAGTAGTAGTTGCTGGGAGTAGGTCCAAGTAATTCGTGAAAGACGTTCTCCATTGGATCCAATCACTCTCCGTAGGTCTAGTAGCAGGATCGCACCAAAAGGCTTCTGGAGGTAGTAGGTGAAATGCCATTGTAATGGTCCACAGCCCAGACGCCACTGTTGTATCTACACGTACACTAGTCCCCTGCACGCAGGGTCTTGAACAAACACGACCAAAGCCCCGAACGAGGAAGCAGAACTCTACAGGTACGCAACACAAACTTCTATTGACGCCAACGGTACATGCACTCAGTATATTCAAAACAACCCTGGTATTGATCGCGAACGGACAGGCATCCAATCACGAGCTACGAAGTGCGGTCGTGGTAAGGCCCGCGCGTACGGGCTACCACAATGGTGACTGAAAGCTGAGGCGAAGGGAATCACCTGTCTCAGTGTGGTCGATCAGGCGATCGATCGAGTCCGCTGGTGAGTTTGTAAAAGCATCGCTAGTTGTACATTACCTCAGAGTTGTGGATAGATCATTTGTGTGCAGAGCCGGTGTGTTCTTTCTCTTGACACGGCTGGGAGAACCAGGCACGCAACAGTGGGCCCTCGGAAAACTGCTTCCTTTTACAGTGAGGGACCATTTGATTAATGAGTGACATGGTTTCTATTGTACGTGGCCCCAGGCGTCGTCAACGTCCAGGTTCTCGGGAATGCTCTTAATCTAGAGTACTTGCAGCAAGACCCAGAATGTGTGGGTCCGCACGCCAGTAGTTCTGACGGTACACACTCTGGTGCTGAATGGTGAGAACGCAGCTTCATTCAAACGAAACCCCACAATGATCACTTTTGCAATAGGTTGTAGTACAGTCAGTGAGGAGTCATCTGAGTAGGCCGGTGAGAGTACGATGTCCAAGATGTGTGGAGCCTGCTCTGGCTATATTCTCCTGGGCGCTGTAACATGCTGGAGCAAATGACAACCAAGAATAATTTCCAGGGAGAGAGAAACGAAAGAGTCCGGAGAAAGGTTACAATAGAGCAGATCCCAATGAATAGCAGCAGCATTAAAGTCTCCTATTATCAGACAGTCTCTACCCCTGTCATACTTCGTTATCAACTTCAGTAAGCAAGTTCCAGACCCCATAGGTGGTCTGTAAACGACACAGACCAGAAAAGATCTACACGCGTCATGAATCCGACACCAGAAAAACTGGAAAACAGCCTCTTTGCTGCAGACTGCTTCCGCAGGATGGGCCCCGTGGCTCGCCTTCTAGTACATACTCACACCACCCCCAGACCTCAATCCAGAACGGCCGGTCCGAGAGAATTGATACACAGGAATCTGAACTTCTCTGGTATATCCGAAGATAATCAGGTCTCTATGAAGGCTATTGAATCCGTATGTTTATCTGAGGCAAGGAGTTGAATTTCGTCAAGATTGTTTCTTATGCTACGCACATTTGCAGTTATCACTTGTATCCCATCCTTTAATCTTGCTGCCTGAGTATGACGAGGATTGGTTTCCACCGAAATTTGTGCGCTTCCTGTACCACGTGAAAATCCACAATGTGGTGATTAACTTCACCATTTGTCGGAGGTTTCCGTAGTTCTTCGACTGGACTCGTCATTTGGACCAGATCTTCTGGAGAAAGGTCTCAGGGTACATAAAATGATTCACCCTTAAGAGGTGAGCTCCGTCTGAGAACCCGACAGCTTTGATCTTCATTCTGTCATAGCAGTGAGAAGACAAAAGTTGCGATATGGCAGCATGTCGATTGTTTTCATCAGTCGCAAACACAATAAAAGCGGGATTCAAAGACAGTTATATACAGGGGGGAAATTGGCACACCAATCAAATTGTCGAAATCACGACCATGGTATGCTAATTGATTGTCTCAATAGTTTCTATGCACACGACACAGGTTGACAAGCCCTAATTAGCAAGTCTCACTAATTTCCAAAATTATCGGATTGTTGTTGCATAATAACACATTGAACGCAGTCTCCGGGTTCACTTGGTGTCGAGTTGTCAAGAGATGCTTGGTGATAGATGACGCTGGACTCCTGTTCATCCTCGGATCCACTCCGTTATGTTGCGTCAGCAGTTGTTCCAGCCACCTCGGCACATGTTCAGCTACCCTCTGAGCTAACTGCCAGTCAGTCCTGCGTATGTAAATGTCACCGTAAACGCAGGTGAAGGGGTAAACAACGTGAGAGGCCGAACTGACTGAAGAGTGGCTCTGACGGTCATGAAGAACAAGATTTCGTGTTGTATGTATGAGTCACAACTGGGCGGTCGCGTAGGTGCGCATAAGGGCGGACCGGAATTTAGGTCGAATATCATTTGATACATGGTCTCCTTTGAAAGGCAACAACAAATAAACATTCTTTTTCTCTGCTGTTAACACCGGTATTTTCTCCTTGGGAGGTCTGCTATTGATCTGAATGCATTTCTCAGGATACCCATTTGACACCAACGTTTTGAACAAAACTTCTTCTTCAGCTTGTAACATTTCGGGGCTGCATATCCGTCTGGCTCCGTAGAAGAGCGTTTTCAATAGGTCGCGTTTGTATGCGACCGGGGCAATCGAGATAATGATATATCGAAACTTATGTCTTCTCACTGCTCTGACGAAATGGCTGAAGGGGACTCACTGTTTTACCTTACATCTTCAGTCTGGCAGATAACCTTTAGGGGACGAGTTTTCTGGCAGCTTCTTTGTTTCCTGCCGAGACGAAAGGCAGGAAATTTACTGATGTCCATCTCGCCTTCGTCGGAAAGCTTGGAAACCATTCATTCTAGAAAGTCTCGGTCGTCCAGTATCCTAGCAGATGTAGTATCCTTACGGGATTCAGGAACGTTTATGATGATCAAGCATTTATCCCGATTTGTGCCGGTTCTCACGAACCGGCGGCTTGGGAAGCGGGTTGTCTGTAATCAGCTTTTCTAGTTGGCATACTCTGTCAATAAGTTGTTTTGGGAAGGAACAATGGAACAATGGTATATGACGGGTAAAAAAGCATACACTTAACGAGTCCCGCGGGTTGGCAATAGAAATACTAACAGATTGGCAAACCACATAAGTGGTTGAAGTAAGGAGCGTCAGTGAGATAAAAGGTAGAAGTATAACAGTATAACAGTTTTAGGTGGATAAAGTGATACGACGCAAAACTGGCTAAGAAATTGTTATCGTTGGTGATGGTAGCAAATAAAAATGGAGTACTCACCGGTTCGCACAGATTTACAACCGTGAATTTGGGGTATAAATCCAAAGAGGCTGGTCAGCCTAAATATATACAAGCGTTTTCGTTCATAAAACAAAGCGCAGGGCGCTCAGTGCGACGTCCAATCGTTTTTTAAACGTATCTAATGTGGGGGCACAAACAACTGAGTTTGGAAGGGCATTCCAGGGCCCGCAGACCCGGAGGGAGAAATAGGTTCTCCGACACTCTAGACGACTGTACTGTTGGCTCAGCTTTAAACTGTTACCGCGAAGGTTAGTGTTCGGGCTGAGTTTCAAGAGGTGGCGGCATACGTGACTGGGATCGCTCAATATCTGGTACACTAGTATGAGGTCTCCACGAAGTCGCCGGTACCGTCCGCTGAACACTCCGAGTATCTCCAGTCGTTCCTGGTAAGGAGTGTGGCGCAAGCCCTTGACGATTTTCGTTGCTCGACGCTGTGGGGTCTCAAGCGCTGCAAGGTCACGTTTTAGCCAGGGTTGCCAGGCCTGGATTGCATATTCGACGTGAGGACGCACGTAGGCATTCAGCATCAAAGAGAAGATGGATGGATCCAAAATTCCGAATGCTCTTCGCAGGAGTCCAACGTGCTGGTTGCTCCTTTTAGAAGCGGAATCTGACTGTTTGGAACACCCGAGGTCTTCCTGTACCAGCACACCCAAGTCGCGTTCCTGAGTGGTGGTCTTCAGATCGTGTGCCCCAAGCTTGTAGACGTGGACTTGTCGATGGCGGATATGAACAACGCGACATTTGTTCACATTAAACGGCAGGGCGTTTCTCACCAACCAATTCCAGGCCTCATTCAAGTCACGCTGTAGGACTTCATGGTCGTCCGATCGTTTTATCGCCCGCCAAACCTTGAGGTCGTCCGCGAAGAGTAAAAATTTCGACGTAATAAATCTTACTAGATCGTTAATGAAAAGCAGGAACAAACGAGGCCCAAATACCGAACCCTGCGGTACGCCGCATCCCACTCGAATCGGATCGGAAAAGGATGATCGAACTCTAACTACTAACTGCCGTTCAGAGAGAAAGTTACCGATCCATCCTAACAACGGGTCTCCGATACCGTACTGTTGGAGTTTAATGAGCAGGATTCGATGACCCAGGCGATCGAAGGCTTTCGAAAAGTCCAAGAATGCAACATCGACTCCTGTTCCCTCATCGACAGTCTCGGTCCAGTTGTCACGAGCTATCAGCAGATTCGTCGTACATGAACGATGTTGACAAAACCCATGCTATTCTGGCGCAATTATACGTAGTTTTCCAAGTATCCCATTAACGCATCTGCTATCACCGCTTCCATGACTTTGGCGATCACAGGCAGAAGCGTTACGGGGCGGTAATTGGCAGGATCCGATCGACTTCCTGCTTTGTATATGGGCGTTATTACACCTTGTTTCCACCTCGAAGGTACGATGTTCTCATCGAAACAGCGCTGAAAATATGCAGCTAGTGGTTCGGCCACGTGCATGGCAGCTACCTGTAATGTTTTCGGGTGAATGTTATCGGCCCCGGGAGAGCTGTGTGGACGCAAGGATAGCAGCTTTTGCAGCACCATTTCTGCAGTGAACGTGACGTTGGATAAAACGGGCGGTGGGGTAACTAGTGGCGGAATATACGTCGAGGCTTGTACACCTTGGAAGATTGGAGGAAGAGTTGGCTTTGGTTTGGGCATTGTTGCGCTTCGGACTGTGCTCCCGTTAACGGAGGTTGGAGCCGCGCCACTGCTAAAAACTGCTGCATACGTTTTGGGTTTAACATCGTTACTGCCAACAGCAGGAGTCAGCAGCTCCGAAATCGACGCAGATAAGACCCGCTTACGTTTGACAGCAAGGGTGATCGTTTTGATTTTACGCCCTCTACCTGTCATGATCACCGACGATGAAGCAGAGGAGTCTCTATTACGACTTATGTTCGTGGTTGTCGAGCTGGACACGACAACTGGCGGGAGGGGTTAGCCTTTTTCCGTGCGTGGTACACACGGCTGAGTGGAGTTGAACAGATCCCGAGACTCTTAGCAGCGTCAGCCGCTTGGCACATCTCACAAATGAAAAAGACAACGGAGGAGGAGGTCCGTTGGAGAAGCTCATACAAATTAGCTTCGATTTTGCAGCAGGCAAAATGCAGGCAGCCACTACAGGTCTTGCAATACA